AAGAGCTTTCTAACAATTATTATTGTCCAATAATGGAAAAAGTGAGCATACTTCATAAGGCAGTGGGCTATCCTTGACAGATGATGTTAAGCAGAGGTTGGAGGAACACTCACTGGGAATGCTAAGAGAGGATTCAAGCATAAGCTAAGGAGGTGGACTAGAAAGTGCCTCCAACTTTGAGATTCTATAATTCGCTAATTACATTTTTCATGTTTTCATGTTAAAACAACCAGAACATGAGTTCCATTAAGGCAGGGATCATTTCTTATGCTCCTTCTGTGTTGCTCACTGTTTTTAGTGTAGTATTCCCAACATTCTAAATACTCAAAAAAGACTTGCTTTACTAAGTCACTGACATAATCAGGAAGCATGGCTATAAATATGGCCTGCCTTTTTCAACTTTTCTCTATTTATTAGCAATGGAGTGGAATGGAAGCAAGACAACCCTAGATGGCAGCATTACCTCACAGGTTCATGGTTTATTCATTTTTGAGGGTTAAAAAAGTATTTAAATTCATCAATGAAATCAAGCTTCCTCTCCCCATCTTTTCCAGTCTTCTTTCTCTTCCCATTTCATCAGCCTTTTAATACAGTTGGGGGTGGAGGGAAGGGCTGTAAAAAGTCTTCAGAAGAATTCACTAATGCTCATGAATATGTGCAATACATACTTGCAAAGGAAAAAGAAAATTCTGTTCTGTGCACCCCTCCCACCAAAGAATCCTTTTCTAGGCTAAGCTTCTGCTGCTCTACAGGATGCCATACCTTGGACATCCTCACCACACTAAACAGTGGGTATATTCCAGGTGAGTATGGAGTAGTGGAAAGTGCCCTGGACTTTAGAATCAAAAGACTCAGAGCACATCACTAAAATATCATTCTTTCTCTTAGTGTTACCACCCCAGATTTGGATATGGTGAGGTAGTTCTATTTTCTGTAAAACTTTATCTTGTTGTTTTCCACCTAAAGTCTTTCCACAAATTCATGTTATACTTTGGTTTATCAATTACTCCCTTTCTCTTGCTTCTTGAATCTCTCCCTGACCACTGGATTCTTTTTATCAGTCTGCAAACAGGTATGTCTCGCCTATCTTGAGAAAGCTTTCTGTTAGCCCAGCTAATCCTTTTGGGCAGCTAGGTGGTGTAGTAGATAGAGAGTTGGACCCAAAGTCAGGATGATTCATCTTCCTGACTCTAGGTCTTACTGTGTGACCCTCCGCAAATTACTTAATGCTGTTTGCCTCATTTTTCTCATCTATAAAACAAGCTAGAGAAAACCACTCTAGGATCTTTGCCAAGAAAACCCCAAATGGGGTCACAAAAAGTTGGACATGATTGAACAATAAATCCCTTTAGCTTCCTTCTTATTTCCTCCCCTCCTTTTGCAATTAAATTTACTGAATGAGTGGTATATACCCATTGTTTCTACTTCTTCTCTACTCACTCTCTCCTCAGCCACTTTGCAAAGTGCTAAATTCTAACTTACAAACCTATTACACTATTGAAATTCTTCTTTTGAAAATTATCAGAAACCTCCTAATCACTAAACCCAGTGATCTTTGATCAGTTCTCATCCTTCCTGACTCTTTTGTACTTTGTAGCAAATTATATTATTTACCATCTTCTTCTAAAAACTCTTTCTATTTCCTTGGTTTCTCTGCCTCCATTATCCTGGTTCTCTATATTTCTCTATATATTCTCTTTCTATCATGTCATTAGGTTCTCTTCCTCCTCCTACCTGAAAAATATGAATGTTCACCAAGGTTCCTAGTTCTTTCGAGGTTCTGAAGACTGCTTATTTCAAAAGTCCTGGTAAGGCTTCTGAAATAGTTTACTAATGCTATTAGCTTATAAGTTGACATGGATTTATAACAATAATCTTCTTCAATAATTAGAATTAATAATAAGACAAGGATATCCCCTGGATCAAAATCTTTGTTGATATTTCGTAGAAAATGTCTTGTATTTGCTCTTCCTCTTTATTCTAATTTCCACCACCTTAATAATACAATAATCTAATAACACAATAACCCTCACCTGACACCTGGATAACTTGCAGTATGATTCTAGTGGGCCTCTCTGAGCCTCAGCTCTACTCCCTTGAATTCATCTAACATTCTTTTAGGTTTGTTTCCATGAGCTCTTATTGCTAGGGTCCTGTGACCTCTGACACAGGCATGCCCAATATGCTAGGAAGGCACTTAGAAGTTTTTGTCCAGTATGCAGTTCATTTTGTGACATAAGTGTTATATAGTTGCCAAGCTGTCAGTATTCTCTGTGCCCAAGAACTCAGGCAATATATGGTGCAGCCCAGCACATAAGAATTCACAGGAACACACAATACAAAGAAAGTTATATAAACAGACACACAAGAAAAAGGCACAGCAACCTAGAAACACCAAAGTCCTATATCGGAACCGCTCTCTTCAAACAAATTACAAATTGTTAAAGCTGAAAGGAGCCTTAGAAATTCTTTAGCCCAGAGGAGTTAAACTTAGGGCCTTTGTTACCACAAAACTCTTGATTGCTACCCATACCAGATGAAAATGTAATTGGGAAATGTTGCAATCAAGCAATCAATAAACATTTATTAGGTGCCTACAATGAGCCAGGTACTGTGCTAAGCACTGGGGATACAAAAAGAGGCAAAAGATAGTCCCTGCCCTCAAGGAGCTTGCAACCTAATGGGAGGACATCATGCAAACAAATCTATACAAAGCAAATTATAGACAAGATAAATAGGAAATCATTAATAGAGGGAAGGCACTGGAATTAAGTGGGATTGAGGAAGACTTCCTATAAGAAGGTAGGATTTTAGTGGGGACTTAAAGGAAGCCAGAGAGGTCAGTAGTTTGAATTATGGAGGTAGAGCATTCTAGGCTTGGGAGATAAGCCGAGAGAATGCCCAGAGCCAAGAGATGGAATGTCTTGTTCGTGGAATAGCCAGGAGGCCAGTGTCACTGAATCAAAGAGAATGTGGTGGAGAGTAAGGGGTAAGAAGACTGGAAAGATAGGAGGGGCACTAGGTTATGAAGGGCTGTGAATATCAAACAGAGCATTTTGTATTTGTTCTTACAGGCAGTAGGAAGCCACTAAAGTTTATTGAGTAGGAGGTTGACATGATTAGATCTGTGCTTTAGAAAAATCATATTAGTGACTGAATGGAGAGAATGGATTGGAGTGAGGACAGACGAGGTAGGCAGGCCCACAAGTAGGCTATTACTATAATCCAGGCCTTGAAATGATGGGGGTCTGCACTAGAGGGGCAGCAGCATCAAAGAAGGGAAGGGGATATATTTGAGAGATGTTGTACAGGTGAAATCGACAGGCCTTGGCAATAGTGTATGAATAGGGGATGAGGGAGAAGATATGAGTGAGGAGTACAGGATGACTCCTAGGGGTTGAGACTGAGAGACTGGGAAGATGGTATTGCCTTCTATAGTAATAGGGAAGGTAGGAGTCAGGGAGGGTTTGGGGAAAAGACAGTGAGCTCTGTTTTGGACATATTGAGTTTAAGATGTCTACTGGATGTCCAGTTCAAGATGTCTGAAAGGCAGTTAGATATCAGATTTGAGGTCATCAGAGAGTTTGGGGAAGGATTGGTAGATTTGAGAATCATCAGCATAGAGATTAAATTTTGGGAGCTGACAAGCTCACCAAGTGAAGTAGTATAGAAGGAGAAGAGAAGAGGCCCCAGGATGGAATCCTGAGGGACGCCTATGGTTAGAGGGTAAGATCTGGGGGAGGATCCAGCAAAGGACACAGAGAAGGAGCAATTAGATAGGTAAGAAGAAAACCAAGAGAGAGTAATGTCCCCAAAACCTAGAGAGAAAAGTATCAAGGAGGAGAGAGTGATCAACAGTGTCAAAGGCTGAAGAGAGGTCAGAGAGAATGAGTAATGAGAAAAGGCTATTGGATTTTGCAACTAAGAGATCATTACTAACTTTTGCTGGAATGGTGAGGTGAAAAACTGAATTGTAAGGGGTTAAGAAGAGAGTGAGAGAAAAGAAAGTGGATGCACTGATTGTAGATGACATTTTTTAGTTGTTTAGTTACAAAAGACAGAAAAAGAAAAGGATGATAGCAGAATTGGAAGGATCAAATGAGGGCTTTTTCAGGATAGGAGAAACATGTTTGTAGGAGGTAGCAGAGATTGAAAATAAGTGAAAGTGGGGATGACAGAGGGAGCAATCTGTTGGAGGAAACAGGATGAAATGTGATCACTTGAGCAGATAGAAGGATTAGCCTTGGTAAGGATTATGTGATACAGGTGTGAAGGAAGAGACACTAGCAGAAGGCATCTGAGTGATGGGAAATGAGGAAAAGAGGAGAACAGGGAATTCATGGTGAATGGCCTCAATTTTTTTTCTGTTAAAAAGGAGGCAAAGTTCTCAGTTGAAAGAGTGAGAGAGGGAGGATCCGTGAGGGGTTTGAAGAGGGATGAAAAGATTGGGATAACAAATTGCTAAAAAAAAAAGCAAGTATATTAGGATTGCCTAGCAGCAGCGAGAAACCAGTTGAGATTACATAATGTAAATCTGTAGTGGACTTAATCAGAACAGTAGTGTGATTTTCTCCACCTCCATTCAGCAGCAGGTGGGAGAGAGAGCCAAGGCTGAGGCTTGACTGTCCTCTAGTCCTAGTGTTTCTTTAGTTTCAAGCCTGGGATCCCTGAATTTCCCTCTTGCAACTTTTCAGAAACTGAAATCCCACCCCTGAAATCATGTATCTACCTACTGTCATACTTCACTGACGCCAGCTGCCATTCTGTTCAAACCTCTGCTTGCTGACAAGTCTGCAAGGCTGTGACCACCTACCCAAATGTATACTTATGGCAAGAACTCTCCAACACCATCCAAATGAATGTCTTCCTGTTGTCTGCTTCTGGGACTTCTGATCCCCTGGCCTGCCTTTGAAGGTCTGCCTGGTCTCCAGGTCTTAGCCACCTCCATTCTGACCCATCCTGCTGCTGACTAAATCTCAGTAATGACACTGTGCACCTACCTCTCAGGGTCAGGTATCCATAAGCCAGGTTGGTTAATGCTTGGGCATATCTCCAGTGTTCAGTTCCAAAAACAATTCGGGAAAATGTAACGCAGCGAATCAGTTCCTGGTTTGCCTGGCAGTTCTGAAAATAGCAAACAAGAAACCATTATGTTTATTGTAAAAATGAAAATTGCCTAATGGCCATTTCATTTCAGAAATGCATGGCAACATTCAACTATGTGAATGAGGACAAGGTAAAGAGCTTTCTGCCTTTGTGGAACAAATACAAGCACTGGCCTCCCTCTTCAATCCATCTGGTTCATGGATTTAAAGGAAAGTAAATGGGCTAAAAAAAATATGTTGACTATACCAATAGATACTTCTGTGCCTTGGTATTCTGGAAACAGCTCAGGACCAGGAGTCAGAAGACCTGCTATATGTCAGTCCATAATGTAGGCTGACCCAAATCATTCTGCATAAAAGCCATGTTTTGATCTTCTCTGCCTCAGCTACTAATACTGCTTAATATGGAAGATGACCCTTGTTTTCCTTGGTGCAACACTAGCCCATTTAGTAGCAAATTAAGGTTGGGAAAAGCCCTTTCAGTTGAAGTAACTAAAAATCTGTATGAAATAAAAATAAAATGACCTGTAATCCATCCTAAATTCCAAGTTTTGTATGGGTAATATTTTACCTTAAAAAGTCAAAGTTAGGGGCAGCTAGGTGGCTCAGTGGATAGAGCACTGGCCCTGAAGTCAGAAGGACCTGAGTTCAAATCTGGACTCAGACCAAACACTTGACACTTACTAGCTGTGTGACCCTGGGCAAATCACTTAACCCCAACTGCCTAAAAAAACCCAACCAAACAAACAAAAAAAGTCAGCATTATACAGCATGGAACATGAGTGCCTGTCTAACTCTGGAAACTCCTAACCCCAAATTGTGAAATCTTAGCAGATCAAGCCAATGACAAGAACAATACTTCTACTTTGTCTTGGAGGGGAGTCTGGACCTATTTGTTGTCAATACTTAACCAAGAAAGTATATTGAGATAGTGAAGGTAATATAGAATGGGGAAATCTAGGTTCAAATCCTAGGCCCACTACTTCTGTCCTTAGTCATTCTGACCCTCTGGGTCTCAGTTACCTCATCTGTAAAAATAGGTGAATTGACTTAGATGATCTATAAGATCTCTTGTAGCTGTAAATCTATGATTCCATGAGAGCTTCTCTGATTAAGTAAAACCCAGATAAGTTTCACCTCTACATTCTGATTGCCTGTTTTATTCTGCTTGGTCTCCTGAAATTTGAGAACTTGCTCATGTTGCCTAACAAGGCCTGGTTTTTCTTCTCCTTCTTTGCCTTGACTTCTAGGTTTCGAGACCGCTGGTTCTCTAATGCTCCTAAATAACTAAAGCAACAGTGGGGAACCTACAGCCTGGAGGCCACATGTGTTCCTCTAGGTCCTCAAGTGCAGCCCTTTGACTGAATCCAAACTTCATAGAACAAATCCCCTTAATAAAAGGATTTGGCCATCAAGGAGCCAGACCTCTATCCTCTTCTTTCCTGGTTCTGACCTCTTGGCCCGACTAACTTGACCTTGTTGACAAGATCAGTATGAACAGAGACATGAGAAGATGAAAGATAAAACAACTAAAAAGAAAAAAAGAAAATTTGTTTCTGAGTTTGGTGATAGGGAATACAAACATTCTCGGTAGTTCTACACTATGGATCCATTAGATCAATTATGAAAACTACTAAAATGATTTTAAAATGTAAATGAAAAGCTAGCATAAGACTTTTTTTTTTACCTTTTTTGCCTTAATCAGCAACTCAGCTTTTCTCTGTGATTTGTTTAATTTCTCCTTCGGAATAGACATATAATCTGCATTCCTTGCTACCTTGTCAGTTTCATTTTCTTTGTCTTCACTATCTCCAAATTCATCACTAGGATTTGATTCACTCCTCTGCTCAGCAACCAAAGTTCTGGTTTCCTTTTCCCTAATGATAACATACAGTACATTTCTGGGAGATGCTGATTCAGAATTTAGCTCTTTTATATAAATTGGATTGTTTAAACTGAAGAACACAGCATTTCATAGTAAGTAGAGCTATTTAGCCATATAAAATACAATTCATACTGTAATTTAAGGAAGTAATAATTTAGATAATGAAGAAAGCATTAATACTTATTATCTGTATGGTCTTGAGAAAATTATTTCCTTTCTCTGGCTATAGTTCCCCATAAGCAATGGTAGATGATTTCTAAAACTCCTTCCCCTCTAAGTCCTATTATTTTATGAAAGCTAAGTAAGATCTAGATATAGCAAAAACTGGGAAAATGAAAGACAGGTCCACCCTTCTAAAGCAGGGACCTGAAGAGAGTCAGACATTTGGTCTAAATTATTTAAATAACCATATGATTCCTTTACTTTGGCAGTACGAAATAAGGTTCTAAAGAAATATCAAGGAAAAACAAAGCCATTTTGAAGCAGTAGCTAAGATAATTACTAAAAATCTTCATAAATTGATTCGACAAGGGGTCCTGACATATTTATTCATCTGAATTAGGGATTTTCAAAGTGATAATGTCAACAATAGATCTTTAGGTGGTCTACACTTTTGTTTCTTTCATAAAATAATAATTTACTTGTCATATATGGCAAAAAATAAGACATTTTTCAATGGCGTCTCAACCATAAAATGTCATGTTTTCTATTAATTGGAGTCAGGTTTGTTAGAGTCAAGGAGCAGGAATTTAAGTGGAGTAAGAGGTCCATGAGCCACAAAACCTTTGAAAACCTCTTTGCTCAAAAAAAAAGTTCTGCACTAGGAGTGGGGGAAGGGCACAAATATTATCCACTGACCAAATGGAGACCCTTCAGTAGACTGATATGGAATGAAAAAAAGAATCCAGACAGAGTCTGGGGAACAAAAGAATTCAAAGCATAATGTTAAAGCCCTTAATCTGAAGGCAACTGGTAAATAGCTTTATAGAAAATGATCAGATGAAATAGGGGAGAGGGACCTGGATATTATATGGCAGATTGCTGAGTTATGCTCAGTGATCATTAGAAAATCATAGGATTACAAAGAAGAGCTATAGGACCAGACAAAGGCAAATGTCCCAATAGTCTATGAACGGAAGTGAGTAAAGTCTATAAACTATAGGCCAGGGAACTTGACTTCAATACCTACTAAAATTATATAATGTATTAGAAAAGATATGGCTAGTTAATATCTTGAAAGGGAAACAGTTATCATAAAGAGGCAGCATGGCTTCATTGGGCAGAGATAGATTATGGCACACTAAATTATTCCACATTGTTAACTCAAACAAAGATCAGGATATGTTTCCCTTGGATTTCAGCAAAGCATTTGATTTCAGCAAAACATATTATTCTTGTGGAGAGGTGTGGGCTGGATAATGAGCTGCTAGTAGCTGGAAATGGTTGAATGACTAGAGCCAAAGAGTCACTTAAGGTTTAATGTCAGCTTGGAGGAAGGTCTCTAGTGGAGTGTCCAAGGAACAAGTCCAAGTCCTTGGCCTTGTTTTGTTTAAGTAGGATCTTAGAGGTCAATCAGTACAGAGCTGTCAAACACGCGGCCCTCAGGCCACATGCAGCCTACAACACTCCTGAGTGTGGCCCAAAACAGATAAAAATGTAATTGGTAAATGTTTAACAGAACAAATAAAAATACAATAAAACATCAATATTAATAATAGCAGTTTTCTAAGTCCATATGCAATCCATACAGTTTACAATCTGTACATTTTTATTTGAGTTTGATCCCATTGATCTAGCCTACACCCCCTTAAACCTTCTCTGCTTATAGATGAGGGAAGTAAGGGTCCAAGGGGATTTAAATGACTTGTCCAAGGGTCACACAGGTAGCAATAATTAGAATATGAATCCCTGCAGGGCCTCCTGACTCCAGAGTCAGTATTCTTTCCATTGTACTACACTGGCTCATGACATAAATACTGTGAAGAAAATTTGGTTTTCCATTGAAATTTTCTCTTCGGCCACAAATTTCAGATATCTGGACCAAAACTTTAATGCTTTGTTGGTGCCAATGGGGTTCGTTAGTTAGAATAAAGCTAAAGAAGAGCTCTAGATATTATATAATACATCTATTACTGATTTAAAAAAAAAACAAACCTCTTACCAAAGATTTTTCACAAGTGGGAGGTCCCACTCCATGTCTCCTGAATTACTGTGACTACACAGTTCTGTTCTGCTTACATGTGGAAACAGGAGGCCCAGGTTGTGTTGCTGACCTCAGTAGGGACATAGATACAAGATTTCATCTTCTTCCTACAGAGAAACACAACTGACTAAAATAAAAGTCTGGTTATGGGATGTGCAGGAGATGCTTCTTTTCCCTTGCCATTGATTGTAGATGATTATCAGCTGAGAGACTTCATAAAAAACAAAGCACAGCTCCACACAGAGAGAGCTTTATATGTATATTTGTGTATATATGTAGTTACATATAATACTATAATTATATATAATGTATAACTATATAATTGTATATATTACTATAATTATATATACTACATAAGTATGTGACTGCAATTACATAATACATAACTATCATTATGACTATAACTATAATTATGTATATATTGTTATATATATTCATTTGTACTTTCTTTGGGAGAGCATAAAATTAAAAAGGCCAACCCTTTTGAATTAAAATCCCATTACGATTTTTGCCTTATTTAGAGCCATCCCACTTCATAATGCTTTTGTTTTAAAACCCAGCACACTTACAGCTCATGAATCACCTAAACCATGGAAACATTTAAACCAGCCATTTCACTGGCTGACTTGGGACTATAGGAAGAGAGATGCATGAAAATGAAATAGATAAATAGGACCATTCTTCATTTTCTATGGCTGATTATCCAATTGAGCAGGGAAGAGAACACAGAACTACAGACTCAAAAGGACTTAGTATCATCTAGTCCAACTCATTTTCCTCTGAGTCACAAAGAAATGAAGTGACTTGGCCAGGGCCACATAGAGAATAGCAGAGCTAGGACTTTGTCTTATCTTCTTTATTTCACTACTCATTGGTAGACTAGAAACATTAATGTAACTGAAACTCATCTGTCTAGTCTCCTTTTTCTTAGTAACTCTGCTGGATATAGTTGTAATGCCTAGCTAAAAATGAGATTTGAACACTTCTCTGTAGCAAGATGGATGTGGGATGTGGTATCGACACCGTCAGATTCAGTCATCGTGTCTGCTTGTTTTGCTTATTAATAGGAGCAAGAGAAACTGGGGCACTTCCTATGGAGGTGGGCACATGTGTTCTGGTCTCTTTTTGTGGGACCCGTGCTTCATTGGGAGGACACAGCAGCTCCTGATTGGTTCCCAGATACAGGGATGGCATTGAAGATAACTGGGCCTCGGAGTCAGGAGGAGCTATCCTTACGGTGAACTACAAAAGGAACCAAGAAGAAACACTTCTCTTTCTTTCAGGACTCTTCCAGCTGCTGAAAGAAAGGTAGGATAAATCATGACAATAAGAACATGTTTGCCTTAGGTGAGCCCCAGAACTTGGCCACCTTCCTTTTTTTGCATTCTTCTGTACAGGCCAGTGACCAGCAAATTTGAGAAATGGATGTGTCTGTCCCTGGTGGCAACCTCATGAGTCTTAGAGGCTAAGAGGTTCTGAGTGGGGTGCTAACTGCCCAGCCAGAGATTATTTCCACTATAGCAGTACATCTCCAAGGAAAAGCACATCAAGAATGCTACAGGTGAAAACAATGAAGAAAGCCCAAGTCTGGTTAGGAGACACGGACTGTGCACGTTGCTCAAAGAGGGCAGGCCTGAGATGAAAATGAAATACCCATTTCATTAGTCCCACAGCCTCCTTTTAAGTATGATGGGTAATATTGTTTGATGCTTTTGTATTTGTTAATGCATCTGATGAGGTTTCTGTGCTTTAAGCTATTTCAATGGTAGAAGAAATAAAATGCTTCCTTATACTTGATATCCATGTTATACACTTGGCTTTTTAGAAGGAATCCTGTTACCTGCTTTTGTGAACATGGACGATATGAACAATATACTTAAATCTGGTTTTATAGATTTCTCCATAGTTACTTTTGGGTGGGGGACAATGAGTCGTAAAGACAGAGAGTCAGCTCTGGATGAACTGAGCCTATGTGAAATACAGAGAAGAGCCCCTTGTGAGAAAGGGACCTTCCTAGTCACATTTAAATGGTTTTTTTTTGGTTGTTTGTTTTTTTGGTGACAAGAGAGGGAGGGGTATGTTTGGGGGGTAGGGGTGGAGGAAGGAGAATAGGTTCAAAAAAATGTAAAAATAAAAAGCACTAAAACTAAAAATGAGGTTTCTGTATAATTATTCTAATTTGTATATCAAATTAAGCTTCACAGAGCACTTTTCCTTTTTTTTTTTAGCATTTAAGATCTCAAACTTTATTACAAAGTAATAATTGCTCAAACTATTTAGTAATGATTAAAATAATAGAAAATTACACCAGTGGAACAACTTAGATAAACCAAAACCAGGAGAAATAAAAAGTTCAATATTCTTTAAACCCAAGAACATTGCATTGTACTATACTGTAGTAATCTACAGTACTAACAATACTCTGGATGAAATGATGAGGGAAATAATAATTGAACTGAAGAAGTGAAGGAATCTTAAAAATGTGAAGATTGAATACAGAAACCAATGTTATAGCTTTTCAGTCATTTTTCAGTCATGTCTGACTTTCTTCATGACCACATTTGGGGTTTTCTTGGCAGAGATACTGGAATGAGTTAAGTAATTTGCCCAGGGTCACATAGCTAAGGAGTGTCCAAGGCTAGATTTGAACTCATGAAGATGTCTTACTGACTCCAGGCCCAGCACACTATCCACTGTGAAACCTAGCTGCCCCATAATAATCAGCAAGGTCCCTTTAAATTTTTAATCTACAGGGCATGACTATATTTGCTGTCTGGACTGGCTTGCTCACCCTAACCTGTCTGCAGAGCACTTTTCTCACAACAAGCCTAAGGGATGGGGGGAGGTAGTACAAGTGTTATTATCCCCATTTTGTGGATGAAGAAACTGAGGTACTATGAGGATAGGTGCTTCTCTTGCCCATGGTCCAAAAGCTAGAAGGTGTCCAAAGCAGGATTTGAACCCAGGTATCCTGACTCCAGGCCCAATGCACATTCCATTGTGCAATACTGCCTTCTAAACATAATATTAATAAATTCTGAACATTCAGATGAAGTCAATCACAGATCATTGAGTACATACCACTCAAGGACATGTGGTTAATAATCTGTGATTTCTTCCCTATGAGAAAAATTCATCTATATAGTTTGTACTCTTAGAGAGTTGCCTAAGGATAACTGCTGAAGTGACTTACCTAAGGTCATAGAGTGTCAGAGGTGGGATTTGAACCCAATTCTTCCTGACTCCAAGTCCAACATTCTATCCACTAAAACCATATTGCCTCTCCTTTCCCCACATAACCTCAGAGAATGTTAAATCTGGCCTGTTTATCACTCATTATAATTTAGTGTGAAGACCTGGGTTTGAGTTGCAGAACTTTGTGGGCAAGTGACCAAAGCCAAGTCACTCAGTCTCTCTGAGTCTCAGAGTTTTGTGATCAGTAAAAGAGGGATAATGATAATGATAATGATGATACCAATGAGTCAAACGAAGGGGTTAGATTAGATGCTCTAAAGTTCTTTCCAGATCAACATCCTGTGATTCCATGATTTACCTCATAGTTGTAACGGGAGGTAATCTGTAAATCTTGACTGCATTACATAAATGTGAGCTGTTATAATTATTCATTATTTTATTATACTATAATAAGTATAATCTTGAACTAATAACCCATTCCAGCAGTTCCTTATGGAGTTTCAAGATGATCTTGGGCTCTGCTACTGGGTATGCCAGCATAGAGGGAGGGAAGGAGGGAGGGAGAGAGAGAGAGAGAGAAGCTTGAAGAAGGTACCCAGTGATGAACATATGTTAAACAGGGACCAACCTTTTTGCCCCAGGATCCACCAAGTTGGATGCTAGATGATGAATGTGTTGGCCACAGCAACTACTGAAGACCATGCACTAAATTATAAGGTGGCTGCAGCCCGCAGATGGCTCCTGAGAGGTGCACTCACCCTGAGGAAATTTTAAGTGTTGAGGTATACATAATTTTAATAAAACTAGAGGTAATAATAACTGCATAAGTCATATGCTGGGAAAGGCAGCACAGGGTAAAGAAACCTGCAGGCTGTACCTGGAGTCAGCGAGACTTAGGTTCAAATGCTGCTTCTAACACTTACCTGTCGTGTCAGTTTCCTCGCCGTTAAAATGGTGATAAGAATAATTACCTGTAGCACCTACCCCATAGTCCCGTTGTGAATTATGAGGTGTTGCGTTTGGGGGGGGGGGGGAAAGAGAGGCTTTATAGCACTACAGAAACGTCAGTTATGACGATAGTCTCTTTTATGCTGCACGATGAAATCATAAATGACCTTGGAAATCCCTCCAGGAAACCACATTTTGGGGAAGGAGAGAGGTGGGGGAGGGGGTTCAGTCCCGTTTTTTTTTTTTCCCCTGAAGTTGCTTTATTGTTACTCAATCCTGGCCCTGAACGTGCTTCTCCCAGGGTGCGTGTCCCTTTCCTGACCTGCCCTGGGGTAGGGGGGCACTGATTACCTGATTGAGATAGTAGAAACATATAATGAAAAATTCTCCTTCCTGGCTCCAAGGGTACAGGAAGGTGGGAGGAAGGGAGAAGCCGCTTGCTTATGGAGCAGCCTGGTTTCCCGTGGGAATGTCAGGGCACTTTGCCACCAGGAGAGCGCATCCTCCGCCGAGCTACGGAATGAGAGAGCTGAGCCGAACTGGCGACCCTTCCCGTCAGCGGGCTTGCTATCCGAGGAACCAGACAATGGGGGTTACCAAGGCAACAGAACGCCTCGGCTGCTACTGCGGGGATCCTCGGAGCTTGGGGAAAACAGAACGTGGCCTTGGCGGTTGCCGCGGCAACTGGAGGGAGGGATGCCCCGCGTGCTGGGAGGTGGAGCGCAGCTTCTGCCCCCGCTTTCGGCTTGCTGGAGAGTGAGGAGGAAGCGGAGTGGGATTGGGCAAGATGACAGCCGCTGGAGGGGATTAGGGCGCGCCCCATTTCCCACCCTTTCCTGTTCCTTGACCGCTTCTCTGGGTGGGGTGAGGGAATGACGCGAGCACAGATCATCCTCCCCCTTGGAAACCGTGGTCACTTTCCAAATTCCCAGATCTGCTCCCAAAAAGCCCCCTGTGTGGGAGCAAGAAGAGGAACGCCGTGCATTGGTAGAAAATTAGAGAGAGCAAAGTGGGCACGCCTGATTTTAGTGACCGCTTCCTAATAGCTTTTAGCAATCTGCATTCAGTCCAGTCCTATGCACTAGGTTCTCCCTTACGCGCCCACAAAAAATAGCGCCAGTTTAAACAGAGGCTTGGGGTACTGCTATCCTTTCACAGTGGCTTTGCATTGTAAAGGATGATAACTGCTCATGTTTATTGGGAGAACTGCTTTTCATGAATTATTTCATTTGATTTTTAAAAGAAAATTTGTGAGATCAGTGGCACAAGTATTATTGCCAGTTTACAGAGGGAGGAAACTACAAGGGAAGTTAAAAAAGGTGCCCAAGGTCACACAGTCAGTCCTGTTGTAAAACAGTTCTTTCCCTACCACCAAAGGATGTCTTGAGGAGGCAGTGACTTAACCCAAAGGAATGTATTGCTAATGGGGGAAATTTCAGGGGTAGATTGCTAAAGAAGTCCAAGAAAGGAGTGCTTTTTGACCTCGATCAAATCACACAGTCATAGCAGGCAACTTCCTCAACTATTTGGGAAAGGGTAGGCCTGCTCCTGAGTAACCTATGCGAGAGCAATAAACTACAGTCAGTCAATAAACATTTATTAAGTGCCTACTGTGTGCCAAACACTGTGCTAAGTGCTGGAGATAGATATACAAAATAGCGTCTTCCTTCAAGAGATTTACAGTCTGATGGGAAAAGACAACACACCAGTCTCTAAAGGGAATTACAGGGCTACTTGAGAGGTGGCCCCACTGCCCAAATGCACACCGTCAGGTTCCTTGGCCTTGCGTGTGGCTAGCTCTACCAATTGCTTTGGTGCTCTGCATTAACTTCTCTGGGTACTGTGTTCTTTATCTGTAAAACAAAGGGGCTATATTTCATTCCAGTTCCAGATTTTGAGAGTTTATGTACTTTTGAGCCACGTCAGCCAAGTGATTTCAGTATGTGATGAAGTAATCCTTTAAATAAAACTTAATTCCAAGGACACAGAGTTAAATTATGAGCCTTCACAGCACCAAGCAAAAGTTTCTCAAAGAGCCCACCTCCTTGACCTTTCTCCAACAATGAAGAAATAAAAAAAAAACCACCTAAATCTTTAGCACCTTTGCAACCCAGGGGGCATTTGGACAATATTTTACGTTTAGGCATTACAGAAGGCAAGCTAACTACGCAGGTAGGGCTGCCTCTTTTCTAACCCTTATTTTTCCTTAACCTTCAACAATCCGAGTAAGTGATCTGCATGTATTAGAAGCTGTGCCAGAATTGTTATTTAGAGGTGATGCCTTTTCAGGAAAGGACAGGGGGATTTAAAATATGCCTGTGCTTTTGTTTGTGTTTGGAAGGGTGGGGGAAGAGATTGTCTTTGTTATATGGTATATGGTTATACAAATTGTGATACGGTAAGTGAAGGTGAGGAGTGGGGTGGGGTGGCAAGAGGGAAAGCAATCATCTCAGTCCCCCAAGGACCAGAGTGCTGGGATGCTGGCAGCAGGGTGAAGAGTGGTTATCTGTGCCAGCTGGTGCTAAGATCTGAGTCTATATTAGATACTTGAGATCAACTTTAACTTGATTTCACTTACGCTGTAGATATGGTCCTGGGGCTAATAACTTTTTTGGTGTTCAGTAGTTTCAGTTGTATCTGACTCTTCATGACCCCATTTGGGCTTTTCTTGGCAAAGATACTGGGAGTGGTTTGCCATTTCCTTCTCCAGCTCATTTTAAAGCTGAGGAAATGAGGCAAACAAGGTTAAGTGACTTGCCCAGGGTCACACTGCTATTAAGTATCTGAGGCCAGATTTGAATTCAGGAAGCTGAATCTTCCTGACTCAAGGCCTGGTACTCTATCAACTGTGCCACCTAGCTTGCCCATACTAATAGCTACATGATTAAATTAAAAGTTAAGTTTCTAGGTCCCAAGTAGCTTTAGGTTTGTGAGGTCACTATTATAAGTGTTCCCTTAAAATGTTCATAAGAAACCTGATTGGGTCACCCTAAAGAAAAAGCTGAGGTATTAATAAAGTAACCCTTCTAATAATCTATGCAATCTGGGAGCAAGAAGGGAGGAAGACTGTACATACAAGAGAAAGGAAACTTCAAGTCTAGACTCAGCTTAGTCATCAAATCGCTTTGCATCTTTGAACAAGTCTTTGAGCTTCTCTTTCTCCTGTAAAAGGTGGAGGGAGATTGGATTGAATCCCTAAGCTCCTACACTGAGCAGAGGCAAAGTATTTACAAAGTTAAGCACATGTTCACTTTCTGTTCTTGTTTTCTCATCACCCTCCTACTTAAGCTGCATGAAGGTAAAAGTGGAAAGAATACTGGACTTGGAATGGGTCATCTGGGTTTGAATAGATCTGTTTGGCCTTGTGCTGTTTATCATTTTTAGCACTCAGAGTAATGCATACATGGTACGCTCACCAAAATTGCAGATGAACATAGAGAATATAGTTAGTTAACCCACTAGACAGAGTCAGGATCCAAGAAGCTCTTGGCAGGCTAGAACATTAAGATGAATCTAATGAAATAAGGGATAAATGAAAAATCTTGTATTTAGGTATGAAAAATCAAATGACAAGATGAGGGAAACATGGATAGCAGTTGTTCTGAAAAAGATCTGGGATTTTCAGTTGCCTGCAAATTTGAGATGAATCAGTAGTGTGATGAGGCACCCTCACCCTTGGGTGGGTAGGCTTTGTACATTTTTGACAGTGACCCATGAGTAAGATCCCATCCTTTTTGTTTTGGGTTTGTGAGAAAGAGCCAATGTCATAGAAATAAGCAAGCATGAATGGGTTGTGATGTTTCTCGTAGCCCACTGGTCTTTCAAACTTCCTTCTTACTACTGACAGAATCTTTTAATCATTCAAGTTCACAACACTGGCACCCCTGATTCCTCACTCGCCCCACATATTCCAATCACTTGTCAGATCTTGCCCAGAGTATCTCTTTCATGAAGCCATCACTGTAGTTCAGGCCCTTGTCATTTAGAATATTGCAATACCATCCTAACTGGTTTCCCCCATCCCTCCAAACTCCCTGTCCTTTGGGGTCACTATATTCATATCCATGGTGGATTTAGTGCAGACACCTGATTGACTTCAGCCACAATGAAGCTCAAAACTCCTAAGCTCAAGTTGTGATCCAATGGCCTTCAGCAATCCCAGCAAGCAGGGACTAGGCAGGTGGGAGCTGCCATACTGCCTGGTAAGTATTTTTCATGTGATTACTACTTTTAATGGATATAGCTGAAATTCAATAGTTTCTCCCTAAAATACAACAAATAGCTAAATACCACATTTCTTCTTCCCAAACTACTTAAGCGGTGAATGAGAAAATGAAAAACCCGACAGAGATGAAAACGATGGAACCAAAGTTTATTTTCTGCATAAACTCCTGTAAATTACAAAGACAAAAATGCTAGACTATAGTGTATAACTTTTCAATATTTAACCAAGATACTTGTAATAAATACGCATAATGAAACAAAGTAAAAGACTAAAATTGTCAGGAAACTATAAAATGTCTCAAGTTTTAGATCCTGCAGCATTTGTGTGCTGGAATTTTTTGTGTGTGTTTTCTTAAGTGCTGACCCCCCCCCAAAAAAGTCCTTTCACATTTCTTTGGAGCTTTTTTCAAAATTGTCCAATTACAGTTAAACAACTTAAGTAACACCAAGACCTATTATTTGATGGGAAGTTTTAAAGCCATTTTGCTTTGCCATTGTTTAGAGAGCATATGCTCTAGACAGCACTGAGTCCAGTAAGCCTTGAGCCACTGTCCACTCAGTCAAAGCAGACACAGGCTTCTGGGCGGAACAACTTAGAGATTTTTTTTTTTAATATTTGTATACCTCAGTAAGAACAAAGCCATAAGTGAAGCTACAAGCAAATTAGACAAGTTTTAACTTCTAAGTATGGCATGGGAATGGAAAAGTATTTCTTCCATAGATCTTTGCTATGCACTATGAGGGCTGGACCACATCAGGGTTTTACCAATTTTCAATGATTGGCATTGGCCATGCTCCCAATGTTTGGAAAAGTAAGCACAGTTGTGATGTCTTGACATTCAGCCAAAAGAGCAAGGCTGATGTTCATCAGGAATGCTTGACAACTCCCAAGAGCACAGACAGATGGCCAGACCTCCTAGTATCTGCTGGAACTTTGTGATGAGCTGAGAGTACTTCTAGTACATTTTGCTACAGCTGAAAACTTTTACCCAAAGACATTTTAAGTCTAAAGCATGGTTATCTAAAATATTTTGTTAAAATAGTGTAATGCAAATTTTACGTAGTAAATGGTTTAGATACCAAAAATCTGCAATGGCCAATAAAAATATAATGGAGAAAAAACACCTTTACAAAAGTGAGGTTAGGAACTATGAGGCATTTCTTTTGGTTGTAAATGCACTGTTTACTGTAATCCCTTGTTGAAAAGCATGGACTTGGATTTCCTGAGCTTCATGGACAACAGTAGTAGGCAAGCTTTGCATAGGTTGTTTGCAATGTCTTTTAAAGGTTTTTTTGTTTTTTGAAATCTTTAATGTCAACTCATTTATGTTTTTAACCTATATGTTTTAGTTAATCCTATTCATC